GCTGCTGGAACTACCTGTGCCTGCTACCGAGGTACATGGGGCGGCCCAGGTCACGGGCGTAACAGCAGGCAAGGCTCATCTCACAGAATATCGTTCATTGTGGGTTTTATCAGTGCTTTAAAAGGAATATCAAAAGAGATTATTATAGGATCGGTTCTTTGCAGGAAAATGTCGCATGTTTGTGAATCAGTAAGCTGCTCGCTTCTATGAAAAATTTGGAGAGAAGCAGTGCAGCATTTACTTTTGCTATCTTATGTCCCAGTGGCTTCTTCTAACCGATTTTCATTCACTGACAAACATGTACATTTGTTCCATCTTAAGATATACAGTATAGCTTTCAGAAAAAAAATATTCTTTCTGTGTAAACAATTGATCAGTGTTGATAAAGGGCAGCCTTTTCAAGACATTTGAGATTAGTTGTGTTGAATTTCTCCGGGGAAGTGCTTTCTTGTTTTTTCATGTCCCACTGATATTTAGCAGCAGGCTTCCACCGAGGGATTTTTTTTCTAGCAGCGTACACAGCAGAGAAATGTGCACAAAATAGCTTGCATGGGCACTGAAAGATGTGAACTGCATATCTAGTATCAAATTAACACCTTTGCACCACCAATCATCCACTGATATAATAATCGGTAGCTTGAAACAACAACAAAAAAAGTGATAGTGTGAATTAATGCGAGCCGTGTACAGTAGCACATGACCTGTTTATAATGTTCGTAATTGTAAATTATAGGACAAGAATATTTTGTTAGTGCAGAAGTGTAGTGGAGAAGCAGATAACAGCAGAGGAAGCATCGCATCATGGTGGATGTCTGATGTGCACTGAAGGTGACACCGAGTGGGTGGTGCTGGGATGAAAGAACTCATTGTTTGGACATTTTAACGTCAAAACACAGTGTGACAAATCAGTTCAAGATCTGTGAGGAGGCAGTAATGACTCTGAAGACAAATGTGTGTACCCTTTAAAAAAATAAAAATGAAAGTATAAAACTTGTCAACAAACATGGTGTTGAAGCCCACTTGCCACAAAGTGAGGGGTCTGACATTTAAATGATTCTGTCCTCATGGGTTTGGTTCCAGAGATCTGCCTATTGAACCTCAGAAGGCTTCAGATGTGAGCTTGGAAACAAAGTTTGATGGCTTTCGTTCTTATTCTCATTGCTTGTTAGGAAGTCATTCATATCGAAATTTGACATCTTAATTATACTGTGAGGAAATATCACTCACTCTCCACTGGTTTCACTGGTTTCTGTCTAACCAACAAAAAGTCTATCCGCTTAAGAAGAATAGATATCACTGTAGGCGGCTTTAATGGCTGTTCAAAACACCGAGGTCTTGCTTTGCAATTATGTTTGAATAGTTGTTGCTTTGCCCTAAATTTCATTTCAGCTGGGAGCGCAAGATAAAGAAATGTTCTATCAAAACTGTAATACTCAGTTGTGTTCATTGTTGTGTAGTGAGGTGTGGGCCCCCAGGATATAGGAGATGTATACTACAGCACATAGTAGAGAGGGAAACATTAGTCATTTGATAGATGGGGCTGTTTGAATATTTAGTACCAGTCTCTGTCTGTGCACTCTGGCTTCCTGTGGCAGATAATTTTGGCAGTTAAGCATTGATTTCCCTTACACAGCAGAAGCAAGGGTTCAGATCATTACCCTCCCTTCATAAACCTTCTTGTGCCTCTGTTTATTAGTGACAGGGAGGAGCAGTGGGCTTACAGGCGTGCACGGCCATCACTTCCCCCAATACTTTTAAAGTGGCAAAACAGTCTTTTCAGCTCTGAGACTGTCCTGTGTTTTATTGCTGCCTACAATGGAGTTTTATAATCTATTAAATTGAATCTGTTATGCCAAGTTATGTGGCTCACATACAGTAGCTCTGTGCAGTATTTCACTGCTCCTGAGACAAAATTCTGGCCGAAATGTATTATATTGTCACGCGCTGATGGCACTGAGGCACTGTTTTGATTCCGAGGCAAGACAAATCACAGCAGCTACTTTGGGGGCAGACTGCAGATTGAAGGCTGACTGATTATACAGACAGTAAGGGACGCAGTAAAGACTACTTTGACCATTGTAGCCGAAGGAGGAAAGAGCGCTTCAAGTCATGTTTATTTGTATAGTAACACAGTAACACCACCAACAAACAGGAAAACATCAATCAGGAAACAAGGACGCCTGCACATGTAGACAAAGAAAAACACAATAACCCTTAAATGTGGGGGGAAACAAAGAAGAAACCAAATGGCACCAATATCAATAGTGGGGAAAAGTGCTGTGGGGGCACCATAACTTTCCCCACCCAGACATTATATTGTCTATTGCTTCTTTTACCAGTATGCTGAAACCCACCCAAGACTGAACTGGTTTGAACTGGATATAATGCAAAGTGGATAATACAAAGGGTCTGAGGACATTTAGATGTAATGAGTTCAGATGACCATAAACAGATAATTAGATTTGCTGTTCAGATTGCTTTTCTCAGATTTGAATACACTAGGCCTTAAATGGTCTTTTAAACCTTTTGTCCAGTTTACATCCATATTTTATTGTTCATCTCAGGTTGTATCTAGATGTGCCTGCCCTGCCTGCTATTGCTACATCTCCAGCGTGTGACTATGAGCAGTCCAAGTGAAGTGATTGCCCGTATCATCAGTGACCGCGCTGCTCCAGCTCCACCTGGTGTGGGGGCGCTTTGAAACATAATTGTGGCCATTCTTAAACCTGCGTTTTAGGGGAAACTTCTTTAGTGTTATAGTGGTAGGAAAAAGCCATTAGAGAAGTTTGTGTTTACAGAGATTTGAATTGAAAATGCACTTGTGTTCAGCGTGATCATATCAGTTGTTTTTACACCTCTGACATCAGTCTTTGCACCTACATTTTTATTAGATCCACCATGATGTAGACAAATGCCAGGTCTAAATGAGGTCTTTGATTTGATGTGTAACTAATACAAAAAATGATTTGAAGAATATGTAGGTTTGTTCAAATGCTTTGTGATTTCTGCTTTAATTTGCTATCATGGACATTTCTGCTCATCATCTGTAGTAATTCCAGGTATCAATCCACCGTAGCTGACTAGTCCCGACCTTTCTCCTTCCATTTCATTTCATTTTGTTGCCACCCAGCAGCCCTGTCACCCAATCTCCAAGCTTTACTGAAGCTATAAAGCTGAAGTTTTTATCCATATAGTAATTTGTTCTTTACTAGTTAAGCATTTATGTTCAACTTTTTGTATTTTTACTTGAATTAATTGCTAGATCAGTGGAGATTATTTAGAGAACACTGTGTCTTACTTCCAGGTGATGACAGCTCATGGATTAAGACAGCTCTCTGGAACTGTAAGCAGCGGTTTATATTATAAACCTCAGACTATTTGTGTATGGTGTCTTGTTTGTTTGTGGTTCATCAAATTGTACACTTCAGTCAGACTTTGAAGTGTCTCTTGTGTTTCAGGATGATATGACAGAAAGGGAGCAAAAAGGAGAAAAAGGAGACCAGGTAACAGTTTTTTTTATTTTCATTATTATTTTCTGCTAAAAACAATTTAGTTATATCAGTTTTCCAACACTGCCTCCAGCGTTTCACACCACGGTGTGACGAATATTTTCCATTTCTTAATTATCTTTAACAAAAGGAGCATTAACATTTGATTTAGAAAGAACAACTGACCGTCACCTGCTGTTCAGTTCAGTGTCATTTTTGTGCTCTGCAGAGGTAAAGCACTGAATAATTTTTTAACTTTATTATTTAATGAATACATAACGTACAAGCTGAAGACAATTAAGTACAAGCAGTCAAGGCAAACAAACAATCTACCAACAACAAAAGCAGCCAAAACAGAACAGAATAAATCGATTATTACTGTTTGGTCCTCAAAACAGCAGCAGCTACTTGAGGTTTGCAGATAACAAAGGCTACTGATGCAGCTATTGACCAAACATCAAAAGAATAAAACACACTACATGGAGAGCCTTTTTAGTTGTAATTTATTTTAAGTTTCTGCCTTAAAGAAAATACTCCATGTTCTTAAGCTTCACACAGTATCTAAGCCAACTTTATGAAGGTCCTTCAGGAAGATTTTTTTTAACCTTCCCCCAAGAGCGATGGCTTATTTGATTACTTGACTCTTTTCTTTATTCACGTCTTGAAAAATGATGGTTCTTTATCTTCTTCGCTTTCTGCAGGGTGAACGAGGAGCTCCAGGACCGCAAGGCTTCAAGGTAACTTGTTGAAGATTCTGGGCTCACACCAAAACCTGAGCATCAGCAGCCACTGCCAACAAAACAACTCCAAAGTCCTTAATGTCCTCTTTGAGTAGCCCTCAGAGGTCACAGCAGGGTTTGACTCATGCACACTGTTGATCAACACCTTTTTATTGTAGAAGAGACTCTTTCTTCGACTTGTAATTTCTGGGTTAGAAAGGGGCCCTACAGCATGCCAGAGATTATAGATATCCATTTGGTGAGAGGTGCTTTTGAGTTGTTGTGAGTGGGCCTAGTCACACACCAGAGTCATTTTCTTGTTGCAGCTGAAGTAGACCTTCGCTTTTTCCTCTTGTTGATCTTTATTCCTTATCCAGAAGCTTTCTCTGAGACATTCAAGGGTCCTACTCTATCTTGAATTCAGAACAAAATCAAAGCTATCTCTATATACTGTATTCTAGAGTTATTGTGACAAAAATAAACATCTTGAGTTAAAAGTCTGATGTTTTTCTCTAATATTTTCTTACCTCCCCCGTTCCTCTTACTCACCCTTTTTTGGGAATGTAACAGGGAAACGTAGGGCTACCGGGACTAAAGGGAGATCAAGGACCTGAGGTGAGTCTTTGTATTTACCTCTTTGCTGTTGTGACACCTACTGTATAGTCAAATAGAGATGGTGTTTCCAGTGTTTCTCCTATTTAACTATCTAACCTCGTTACTAAAAATGAGGTGGGCAAAATAACAGAAACATCTGTCCACAGCAGTGACTGTGGTGCAAGGAAACCATGGCTACTCAGGTTTAGGTGAATGATATAGAAAATCCCTGAATTTTTGATCAAGCAAGAGTTTGTCCTCATTAATTATTAATCCTTAGTTGTTGTTACTTGTTAAATTTGGTCACACCGGTTGTTTCAAGGCAATATTAACTAGCAGATCGAAGAATTAACATGTCATTGAATACACTGTATCGCCACTTCTTCAGCTGGTTTTGGTGAAAGCTCTGTTTCCATGGTAATATTTTTAATATTACCAGGATATCTGTGGTGGAATGAACGTGTGATTGCAAATGATTACTTTCTTTTAACAAGGAAATGCTTACTGTATGTACTATAAGCACGCTTATTAAAAATAATGAAAAGCTTTTATCATTAATGACAGAGAGGATAAAACGTTCAGAATACTGTTTTTATCCTAGTCATGAAAAGGGTGTATATAAAGATGTCAGGCAATGATGTTTGTGTACATGTTTTCTAGTCTTTATCATTTGACATAAGCTCAGTTTCCATGGTAACATTTAGTGCAGTCTGGTATACAATACAAAAACAATACTGAGTCAAAAAGCAGAGTTCATGCATACAGTATAAAGAGCTTGTCTGGAATAGCAGCATAACCAGAATATAAGCTTTTATTTGAAATAATATGTATGTACATGCAAACTGCTGCTCAGTCATGAAGATATCCTCAGCATGCAGTAATGACCATAAAAGAAACAAGCAGCATTTCAACAACTATTGAAACTACTCAGTTCCTCCAGATACACTGTATGAAGCCCCAACAGTTCTGTCACCAAACAAAGGGAGAAAATAGCCCAACGTATTGATTTTTCTTTGTGTTTTGCCAGGGGAAGCAAGGCCTTCCTGGACCCACTGGACTCCCAGGACTCCCAGGCGAGCCAGTAAGTATATTGGCACTAGACACTAGCACTTCATGCCAAGCCTTCCCTTCTCCTCATTGCCTTATTTGTCACCTTGTCATATCCTCTACTCTCTAACTCAGCCTGCCAGAATGAAAGAAAGAGATAAACAGATAAACCTCAGCAGGCAGAGGAAGAGAGGAAGTAGGGAGAAAAGTCCAGGATTTTTACACAGATGATCAGTAATCAAATTTAAGAATTAATTAGTGGAAAGAGGCAAATCTAAGAGCTTTATGCCAGGAATGGAGGCAGAGGCCCAATCTGTTCTCCACACCTGCTTCGGTAATGAGCATCTGTCTTTATTCAAAAGCAGGGAGGGAAAAGAGGCATTTCATAAATCCTGGCTAAGGGAAATTATATTTGAACACAGCAGCCCGCTGAAGCAGTGAGGAGGAGGAGATAAATGTGTGCAAAAAGATGAAGGACTGGTGATAGATGTGTCTCTTTACACCACTATTTACAGGGCTCGCCAGGAGAGCCAGGGGTGCTGGGGAGAGATGGCCTGAAAGGAGAAAAGGTAGGTAAACTTCAACTCGAGTTCTCACCTTAAATAAAACAGATGACGCCGTGATATTTTATCACAGGTTGAACATGCTAGACAACATGTGAAGACACATTTTAGATTAGTCAGCCTGTGTGCCCTGTTGTAACTTTGTGTTCCTGCCTTTGATGCCTCTGACTATAGTGACATTTGAACACAAATTTCTTCTTGCAAGACTTGTTCCAAATACGGTGCTCAAAGTGGAAAAATACGCATTTGACATGCATATTCGATGGGATTTGTCACTTGTCAAATTAAATGAAGATGTACTCAGGCTTCCCCACCCACTGGAGTCACTCTGTTACACTCCAGGGCAGAGAAATAAACCTAACGTGCTTAGCCTTCCTACATATATTCATTCACATTTATAATTCTCCTTTGTCATATTTGCTATATTGATGCTAACTCGGATCCAAGAAGCAGTTCTGGTTGTTTATATTCATGCGGTAGTCTGTGAATAAATGTGAAAAAACAAAGTCTGGATGCTAAATATGTAACTGCAGCCAGGAGACAATTAGCTTGGTTAATCATAAAGAGTGGGGGCCAGAGGAAGCAGCTAGTGTTGCCTAGCTCTGCCTAACTAGCACATTACATATTGTGTGTTAACATACAAAAACTGAAATGTTTGAGATGATTCTGATAGAGATAAAGTGCTACAGTGTCTTTTGACCATGAACAGAAGGACTAGCTGCTGATATATTTTGATCATTAATGGACTCATGAACAGAAGGATGCTGATATATTTTGATCATTAATGGACAAGCTGAAAGTAAAATTTCAAGACAATCAATCCAATAGAATTAAGGATTAGTATCCTAAAAGAATCATTAATGCTGCTAAAAGAGTAATAGCACACTAGAAGTGCAGTGTACAAGTTTATTTAACACATTCATGTGTGCACCTTCCTTGTCCACCTCCCTTTTGCAACTTTTGCATTGTTAATGTGATAAAACCAATCAGACATTTTGTTTATGGAGAAACTTCTGAACACTGTATTTATGTCTGTAGGGGGAATCTGGTGGTGTGGTGGGACCACAAGGACCTCCAGGTCCCAAGGGTGAGCCTGGAGAGCCTGGATCTGGATATATGGTGGGTACCATATCGATTCTAGTTTCATCTGACAAAACTAGAAACGTTTGAGCAAGTTCACAAAGTATATCATCTCCAAAAAGCTGGAACGACACCAGATAAGCTAAAGCAAACTAGCTCCCCTAGCTGCATAGCTGCCATTACTGAGATGCAGTGCCATTAAGTAATCCATCACTGGATAACTTCAGTCTGGGTAATCACCTATCCTCCCATTTTGGAGCCTATAGCCATTGAAACACTCTCTTTAATGGATATGGCTTTGCATATAGAAATGTTCATTATAGCTTAACCGAAAAAGACGGTGCATGTGCAGTTGAGGCCTCCGTCCTGTATGACGGCGCTTGTGGTCTTCAATCACCTGTAGGTGCTCTATGGCTTTAAACAATCATGTTTGTTTGTGTGTGGAAATGTTGAATTGAACATTAAGCCCAGGAGCAGACCCACTCATCAAGCAAGGAGTGCTGTGTTCAGCTGAGCAGAGTAATAAGGGAAAGATTGCATTCAGGCAGAAGTATTTAAACCTCTTTAATGTATTTTCGCACTGTGGAGATTGGAGCACAGTTGGAAGAGAGGTCTGTGTGTGTAAGTATGGGGGGATATTTACAACAGGCCAGGGTCTTCTTGTGTTGATACATAGTTCAACAGCTGAACAAATAAAGATGTACTGTATGAGCAGTAGTCATTTACAAACATCTTCTCTGTTCTGGAGGCACTGGCGAAAAATGCATCCTCAACATTTTATGGTCTTTGTTATGTCTGACAAAGAAAAGGGAAAAAGCAATAAACAGAAGTCAGTGCAGATGGTCTGAGCATCTGCTCAAGTAGTGAATGTAACTTTATTGATTTTGCTTTCAAATGAATAATGAATGATTTACTCTTTGCTTCTTTTGACTTGTATTATTTGCATGGATTAGTTTGCACTGTGGAGTGTAGCTTCCATATCCTGTTTAAATTTCAGCACTGGAACACTTTTTTTCTGGGCTGTTACTGAGGTCTCAAACTGGATTGCTGACCAATGTACAGTGAATCTCTATTTTGGTGTCTTCTTCCTGTTATTTCTACAGGGCGACGGTTTGCCTCTAACTAGAGGGTCTCGCGGGCCCAAGGTAGGAAGCACAGTGACACAACCATCTCATCTGCACACTATGATAACATCCGCAGAGAGATTTGTGATATTTATAGTGTATGTTTTACTTAATGATTTTTTTCAAATTATCTTCAGGTAGTATAAATCAGTGTTTTCCAACCTTTTTTGTCACTTACCCCACAGCCTTGTCACCTGTCATGTTCAAAATGTGTTCATTTGATTGATGTTATTCAGCACTATTACTGCTGCCACTGTTAGCCTCCAGTGTTTCCATATGGCTGAACTGTCAGTGTTTAGGTGGTTTGGTTAAGTTTGCTGACATGTGGAGTGGTTAACCAGCTTGTAGCTATTATTTAGGAATCACTGGTATAGCTGATACCACTCAAATGCTCACATGCTGTATTTTACTGAACTCTAAGCAGTAAAAGTAGTAGAGATTTTGGATGATATCAGACTGAACTTGGTAGAAGTTTTGGAAACTAATGCACTTAAGATGCTCTACTTATCAGGGATGTTGGTACTTTATATCACAACGCGTGCATGAGTTCATATGCAATAGATAATGAACCTTGAATGTAGCTGTGTTTCTTATCTTAAAGCTATTAAGCAACACACAAAGAGAAAATGAGTTCTGGCAGAGTGTGCTTCATGATCACACAGTGCAGCAGCTCTCTGTGACCGAAGCCTGGCTGACTGCTGTTGTATTTTTGCCAGGGTGAGAGAGGTGTCCCGGGATTGCCAGGAGACCCTGGTGAAAAAGGTGAACCTGGAGAGAGCATCATAGGCCCACCTGTGAGTATGATGTATTGATTGGTCTATGCATCTCCCATTCATTATTTAGTTCAAATTATGATGTCTTCAGATTCTTGTCTTTAGACACTGAAACAGTGAGATCCTCTTTGACTATTAGGACCAGTGTTCATTCATCAGATGAAAATGCTAGCCATTATGTGAGGTGCTGGTGTATTGCACTCTGCCTTCATCATCCTGTATATGCTCCACACTGCTAGTTTGAACTCATAGATTTGATGGTGAGTCTGCTTTCATTTTTGAAATACAGGATTGTTGGAGACAAAGAATCAATAGAGCAGAAGGTGTCTAACACAATTCCTTTATTGGATCCTGGGTGCTAGAGGGCAGATGGTGTTAACAAGATGTGTAATGTCTTCTTAGGGCCTCATGGGACAGCCAGGAAAACCAGGGATTGAGGTCTGTGGAACATTTTCTGAATCCACATCACACAAGCAATGATCAAATTTATTGTCACTGATTTTCACTCATTTATGCTGTGGCCAGCAATCTTGCAATTATTTTACAATACATTTAAGACATTGCAGAGTTTTGTAAAGTTTTATAAACCAAAATTGTTTAGATTATCAGTGTGTTTGGGTATTTTTCAGGGCCCACGTGGATCCCCAGGTGTATCCGGCCCTCCCGGAGTTCCAGGAAGAGAGGTGAGAAATCAGCCTGTCCTTCCACTCTTATTCGCTCCCTCACACATCCACAGATAAAATATGGCTGGAAGCATAAGAGAATGTCAGTTGCCCCCTGCGGATGAAAAAGTACGATATATCACAGCTCCGGGACACAAATCTCCACCATCTGAGATGGGTGTGAAAACAAAGTTAAAGCCCTTTATGCCTGCCTCATATCATAGCCAGGAGGGTTGTTAACTCCTTTCTTTGTCTCAATTAAAGGGCTCCCCTGGTAGACCAGGACCTCCAGGCCCTGCCGGACCTCCAGGTGAACCAGTAAGTAAGACAATTTAATCTTTGCTGTCTGCAGTTCAGCACCAGTGATCTGTAATGAGAACTACTGGGCTCACCTTAAAATCAAAGTCACTGTTCACTGCAGCTCCGTTCCGGGACAATTAGCAACAAGTCCTACTGTTTTCTAACCTGCATCACTTTCAGGAAAATGTTGCCGTTTATCACAAATTAGCAGCGCCCTGTTGTCAGCACATGTTTTCATGTTTCTAGTCTTTTCATTTGTTTCTGGTAAGCAGCATTTGCTATAATTCTGACAGATGTAGTGTGAATAGCACACAACCGCTGCTGTTGCAGCTTCTGCATCAAAGCCTTGTAAATTCTAACCTGTTTATATTCATGTGTTGTAAGAACCCATGAAATCCATTTATAGCCCACTTTATGTTTTAAAAATACATGGACTGCAAGCCAAAAATTTTCTCAGCTCCAGAGAACAACAATATTTTGAAGATGTGAGTTTTCTGTCCTCTGGTAACAAAGTTATTAAACTGTTTCCTCAAGCGTTGCAGATAAGAAATGAAACACTGAAAGTGAAATTTTTTAAAAGATGTTTGGGGTAAAATCAAATTCCTTAAAGGCATATAAGATGGTCTTTTACACTAATGAGCAGTTTACTAGATGCAGTCACACCAAACAAACAGCAGAATATTTCCAAGACTTGTAACTGGTGGAATATTGTAGCAGTATTTCATGGATTTCTTTAAATTCTTTTTTTTTTTTTTTTTTTTTTTGACAGACTGCCTTGCCAATTGTTGGAGACACGGGCGCTTTACTTAAGGTATTTTATCTTCAAAATTAATGATAATTACTGTACAGCTTTTCACAAACAGTAACATCTGAATGATCAGTGTTTGGTATTGTTAAAGTGCACTATCCTAATAATATATGGATCCTGTCAGTGAGTAGTAAAGATAAAGTAAAAGTACTGGAGTGCCTCCATCAGGATGATTGGGAGAAGTAGAAAATACATTCTAATGATTTCACAGGAAATTCAGGCTTAGTCATTCATTAGTATGCACAATCAAGCCATATTGTATGACAACTAGTTTAATAAAGCCTTTCAATAAAGAAAACAGAATACAGAAATGCCACACCAGTGCAAAACACATGAATACAGAGAGGACTGATTAGTAGGTAAATATGAAACCCTATGCACAGTGTGGCTGGTTTGTGAAGAAATGATTGGTCCCTCCTACTACATGAAGAGTCAAACCGAATTTTACACTAGCATAGTCCACAGCAATCATTCCTATTATAAAAAAGTTTTTGATTTGGTGTCACTAATAATTTATTTCTCCTCCTTGTGGATGCGGCATGCTAGACACAAACATCTACCTATACCTACTGCTGCTTACAGGAGGACTCAATACTGTACCAATCAGTCTTAAAGGGCAGCAGTAACCAAATGACAAATAGAGGAAATGTGGATATGTAACTTCCCTGCTTATTATAATTAAATTTTACAGTCTTGAAATGTCTGAGATACAGAAATAGCATTATCCAGTGCAGATAGATTTAAATGCTAAGTAATCTGTGTTGGGTCACAAAGTCCATGACAGCTTACAGTATATGTAGCCTATCGATTAAATTCATACAAATGCTCATGTTGCTTTGAAAACATGGCCTTTAATATATAATTTTATATTAAGTAAGTTTGATCAATTACAGCACTATGAAACCTGATGTGCTAAAAGAGGTTCAAACACTATTCTATGTGTTTCATATCTAAAACCATAAAAGCCAAATAAGAAAAACATTTTGGAGGATAGCTCTTATTTTTATAACTACGACTAAAATACTTTAATTTGCTCATGTTGTTAGAGCATTTGGGAGGAAGGCTAAAACGCTCTTACAAGTTCTAAACCAACAGACTTACATATATTTATTTTCTTATGTTGAACTTGTGTTCCAACATGTTCATTATTCACCAGCTCTGCAAAGCCTAAATTAATGTTAAGTACGTTTTTGTCTGTATTACTTGACAGCACAGAATAAAATGGAAGTTCTAGTACTTTTTTGTCCTCATTCATAATAGGAATAATCGATCAAAATCCTTGTAAATTATAGATTTTTTTTTCCTATTGACTGAAGTAGATTAATCACCTTGCTTCTTGTTTTTACCTGCAAGACATCACGCTGATAGATTTAAGCTTTTACATCTGTAATACTTAATGGACCTCAATTTTAACAATCAATACAAGCCTTTAACAAGCCTTCTTATGACTAATCATTGGTAAATAAAGCCAGGTGCCAGTTGTTGTACAGTATAATTTCCTGTTTCAACTGCAGAGCTTTGTTAGATTCAGCTACTGTTTGCAGCCTTCATCATAGATGCTTAGTGGCACTCTGATGAGTACTTTCAACACTTTTGTTAACACCTACAATGAAGCACACTAAACCTTGGCTTTTTTTTCTTTTCATTCAAGTCAAGGCAAGACAGCATGTTCAAATACAGTAAAATGCTCTTTCTATTTTCCTTGGACTCTTAAAAGATAATTGCACAACAGTAATGTGCAAGAGTATCTTCTATTTTGTCTTTCACTCCATTTTTAATTCAGCACTGGTTTTTAATGGTGCGATATACTTGCTTCTGCTGCCTCCGTCCGACTTAGAGCTGCCACCTCTTTCCTAGAAGGTGCAGTGCCTATACCTAAACTGGATCAGAAACAACGATATTTAAGATTCTCACCTAAATGTCAGAGTCAGTGAGTTTGACAAAGTTCACCGCTCACCTAAATGAGAGACACTGGTGGTGGGTTCACATTATTTCTGCTCTGCAGACATTTAGAGAACACTTTGGGTCAGCCCGGGTCTGGACCTCCACCCAGAGAATGTGACAAAATCAATGGTGAAAATTCACTGATGCAGCTCAACTTGATGAAATTTTACATGTACCACCACTTTTGCTTCCTGCTCTGCCTGCGCTGGCAGAATGCCTGCAGCATGTGCCAGACGAGAGTTCCCGGGCTGCCTGGGCAGAAGGGAGAGAAGGGGTCCCCTGGAGCGCAAGGAGTACAAGGCATGGTGGGAGAGAAGGTAAAAGTAACTTATCAGCATGGCAGGCAATTTGGAACAGTTGCTATAAACATGTTTATCTGACCGTGATACTCTGCATCACATGACACTAGTTAAATTTCTTTTTAAGGTTGCTTTCCTTGAGTGTACAAGCACACCTCGAGTGCCTGTATGCTGATACCCAATATTTATTGCATCCTTTTATCCTAAACAGGGGGATCCAGGTATAAGGGGTCCTATAGGTAACCCTGGGAAAGAAGGCCCAAAGGTAGGCAAAAAAATATTAGGCATATACAGTATATACTCAGGCACATTGTTATGTAATTGTTTGTATGGATCTAAATGAAAAAAAAGCAATTGGTAAAACTATTAGCCTCATTCGATGATACTGTTTATTGAAATGTGCGTGTAATCTAGTATACAGAGATTTCTATTGACAAACACTTTATAAACTGCCTTTTGGATTATCGCTAGAAGCCTAACCAGCTGTTCTGCAACTCATTTTATTCTCTACACCCTTAAGTGCTCACTGTAGAAGTTGTTGCTATGGATACAATGTTGTACCACAGGGAAACAAGCTTGTGAGCTATAAGAAGTTTGCACCCATCTGCCTTTAGTCTAAGGCCTTTTAATACTTGGTGATAATGGTTCACTTTTTCTCTCTGCATTGGCTCTGTTTTCCTGCAGGGAGTGAAAGGAGAGAGAGGGTTCCCAGGCCCTACAGGAGATAAAGGTGATGAGGTAAGTGACAAAGGTTTAATCTAAACAAATTAATCCAGACGTCATGGTGACACTGAGAGGTAGGGTTTTTAAAGGGATGTAAATGTATTGTACTCTGAAAGTTATTAAAAGCTTTTCACAGTGCTGTGTGTGCACTTTGCCTATCTTTTGCACTCTGAGCTACTTTATAACGAATGTAACCTGCCCTGTGTGAGTGTGTTAATTTAAAAAAAGCAAGACACTTTGTAACGGGACTGAGACGCATTTCATAGATCAACTATCAGCAGTGAAATGCAATGGCAGGAGAGCTTCACTAACAGGCCGACTTGTTACTAGTCTGTGTGTTTTTCTTTGCAATGATTAAAGAAATATCACAGAAAACAAGTGCAAAGCAATCTCTAGAAAAATTATAGAAAACAGAAGATAGAGTTGCTGCACAAATGCCCCACAGGAGATAATGGAATGGTTCACTGCTTCTTCATATTTAAGGGTGGTATGGAGATAAGGGACATACAAACATATTCTTGTAGCCATTGCAGTGAAAAGAAAGATTTTCTAGTTCATCCTCTACAGCATACGTAGCTGCTGTAGCTCTGTGTGCTGTATTATTTCACTTGTGCTGTACAGTACAGTCCAGTTGATTTAAAATATAAATAGAAATTATTTGGAGGATTTGTTGGGTTTTTGTCTATAATACTCTAAGGTCTAGACCTCACTATGTAAAGTGCCCTGAGATGAAAAGAAAATATAGATGATCCACTATGTCTCCTGCAGGGACTTTCAGGAGCACCCGGTCTTCCTGGTGTTGCCGGTCGTACTGGAGCTCCGGTAACAACCCTGTTCTTTGTGTGGCCTGATCTTATACACAGTCTCTTTCTTTGTTTAATAATATAACTTGGAGTTACATTTTGTGGTTACTGTACATAACAATTTTAATGTGGGAGGTGTTATGTTAATGCTTAAAACAGATGTCACTGTAAGAATGCTTCTTTGTTTGCAGGGGCTTTTGGGCCGACCTGGTCCAATGGGCCAACCAGGAGCAAAAGGAGAAAAAGTAAGGTGTTTCACCATTTAAATGTGTATTTGTAGTGTATATCTTCCTGGGTTTTATATACAGCATACCGTGGATGAATGTGCACGCTATATATCGTACTTAGAACTCAATGTTTGCTAACTTACATGCAAAATATTCAAAATGTTTAGCTGAGTACCATGGCTCAAAGCCTGTAATAAATGAATCTGTACACTTTTTTCCCATAAATGCAGTTTTATCATAAATCTCAAAGATAGATTGGTAAAATTTAAAAAATGACTCTAGTTCCTATAATAAAGATGATAAAGATAAATATTTATTTAAACGCTGAATCATTTGCGACTTTTCATTATTGCAATTATGAATCAAAGTGAAAGAAAACCAGATCTCTGAATCCAGAATGTGTCTTTTTTCCTCAGGCTTGGCAAATGAAGTTCCATATCACTGGATTACATTAGCATGTGACTGTATGTGATAAACATTTCCATTTTCACAGACATGTTTAAAAATTTCATCTGGTTGATGTTTGGCAGGGAAATGAAGGACCCCCGGGCCGACCAGGGCTTCCAGGGCCTCCGGTAAGTTGCTCGTCTCAACCAGAGCCGTGATGATAACAACTCTCCAAACATCCATTAAGGTTGTAGATTCAATGTCACCCTCATACAGTATGTCTGTTTAACTACATCTTATTGTAGTTGTGTTACACAAACTGATGCTGATTTTCTACATTCAGTTAAGGAAAGTGTTCAGGTTACAGAATTACACCCATTAAAATAGGACATTTTTTCTTGCTTTTATAAACACTATATACAGATTTTATTTTCCCTTGATTAAGTAAATAGTCAGAGCCAAAACCTTGCCTTGACACCTCTTCCTACAGGAATGATCATCAGTGCACTTAAACCTTGCTCAGACTGACAGTACAGCTCAGATAAATACTAGACTCAAATACATGATTCAGCGACACTAATAAAAGTTCAAAGAGTCATCTCTATCTAAAGGATTTGCAGGCAAAGGCAAGCTGGGGGAACAGTGAGTGAGTCAGCAGGCGAGAGTAGGAAAAGGCAGACAAAAACACCACTTACTTTATAATGTATATATAATATATACAGTATATACACTGTGGAGCTAATCAGTGAATGGGGAATTCGTAGGTAGGTAGGTGTGGGGAATCAGGTGACAGGGACAGGGGCAAAAAGCACAGGCTAGTTGGTAGTGGCAGGACATGAAATGACAGGAGAGTTAGTGGACTGGCAAGGTAAGCAGAGGCTGACTGAATCACTATAGAGGAACCATGACAATTTAGCTTAACTGACAAACAAGTACAGATACGATGGAATTGTGGCGACCTGCTCACTGGCATTGAATCATGTTCCCTCCCTTTAAAAGGCCAGTGAGTAAGCTCTT